GGATCAACCAGGAGGAGGACGAAGCAAGGGGGTCAGATCTGACGGCTCTTATTCATGATATCGGGCGGCTGGGGCTCGACCGGCCGAGCGGTTCGGCCGGCGCGCCGGCGCCTATAAGCGCCCAATATATTTACACGGCTGATTATTAGCCTTTTAATCAAAGCTTTTAACAAAACCTATCTCCCCCCCTCCCCCAAGAAAAAAAACATCCACCGTAGTACCTCCCTACAAACCATTTTGACACCCTAGCTAGAATCACTTGGCCTGAAAAATCTACCAGCAACATCGATTGCCTTATACACACTGGTATACATCGCAAAATGTAAATGCAAGTATGCGAGCAACCTGTTTTCTAAAAGTCCCAGCCAAGCAGAGGCTCGTGCGTCTTCTTCACCATGAACACCATCTCGTAGACGAACCCCGCGAGGGGGCCACCGACCAGCGGGCCGACCCAGTAGACCCAGTGGTTGGTCCACACTCCCATGGCCAACGCGGGACCAAAGGACCTAGCGGGGTTCATGGACGCACCGGAGAAGTTACCTCCGGCAATGGTGTTGGCACCGACGATGAGGCCGGTGAGCATCGGACCGTAGCCGGGCACCGTGGTCCGAGGGTCGATGATGGTCGCGTACACGACGAAGAGGAGGGAGAAGGTGAGGATGACCTCCATGACCAGCCCTTGCATGGGGCCTATGCCTGCGCCCAGGGTGTGCACTGGAACCGGAGTAGCCTGCATCAATTATTTCAAATTTGAAGAATGTTTAGATTTGGGAACGATTCACTGTCACGTGCAATCAATTGATAATTAAACCAAATAGTACACCTGTGTACCATACGTGTCCTTCTCATAGTGTTTTAAAAATTCTTAGTGCGATTTATATGTACGAGTGCAGTAGTGATTTGGCTGTTCCACTTTTCAATGGACAATTCAATTAATTACTAGAGCAGGCAGAACACATAGCTATGGCTGTAAAATTGGCAGGGGTGGGCTCGTACCTGGCCGCCGGAGAGGTAGCGGAGGAGGATGCAGGCGAGGGAGGAGGCCAGCAGCTGGGCCGCCACGTACAGCATCGCCCTGAACGCCGTGATGTGCCCGCGCGCCAGCAGCGCCACCGTCACCGCCGGGTTGAGGTGCCCGCCCGACACATGGAAGCCCGCCGTCACCAGCACCCCCGCCGCCAGCGCCTGCGCGAGGGCAACCCCGGCCAACGTCGCCATCGGCATAGCCGCGCCCGGCAGCTCCGGAACCCCTGCAAATTAAGCGGACCAATCATTAGTGATTTGGGAACGCCGTGATTTGGGAACGATTCACTGATCCCAGACGACGGAATCACCGGAGCAGGCTGTGGCCAGAGCGGGAGCCGCCGGAGATTCTCGACCCGCAACGAACCAGGCGGAGTGACAATTGGAGGATTAAGGGAGAGGTGAGCAGAGCGCGGGTGCATACCGGCGGCCATGGCGGCGGCGACTCCGGTGAAGACGAAGAGGAAGGTGAGGACCAGCTCCCCCAGCACGGCGCGGACGCAGCCGGCGTCGACGACGACGTCACGCTCCTCGAACGAATCCGCGTGCTTGGTGTCCATGCTTACAAGGCTCGTTGCTCTGCTTCTTGGGATGTGGTGAGAGTAGTCCGTGTGGCTCCGAGGTAAAAAAAGTGCACGGAAAAGTGATCTTGCTTGGTGGCCGGCCGACCGGCGCCTCCGGTGTTTTATAGAGCAGCAAACATGAGGCGCTTGTGGAGTAGGATCACTGTCTGCGAAATGGGGCTGGGGCGGGCTTTACTGGGCCAAGGGCGGTCGGATGGCGACGTCGTGGGCGGTCGGCAAGGGCCGGGGGCCCGTGAACCCTGCACGGGAACGTGCGCGGAGAAAGTGCGGGGGAGGTCGACGACGACGATGAGGATGACCTGTGAGCGCACCAAGATATTTCTCTTCGCCTGTGGCCGTGGGTGGGACCCTGACTGACCCAGACTTTTCACGACCAGAGGCCTCTGATGACTCAGACTTCCAGCTGCGCATCATTCCAGACGTACGGCCTGCCTGGCGAGCACCGATTGGTACACGTCGTCTTGGTTGGGTGGCTTTTACTGTCCACGCATTTCATTTTCGTTCTCACTTCTCAATGGGAACATCCTAGCTGATGCCACCATGTGCTTTATCGCGGAGAAAATAAAAACAATCTTAGTTTACGGTCGCTTTCGAGTGAGAGGTAATTCCATCATACAACTTGCGCTTTTGCCGGCCGGGTGCACATCGTTGTGACTAGCTCCCATCTCACTTAAATGAGAATTAGAAAATCAAAACAAAAAAAAAATGCTTTGGGTCACTGCCTTACTGGTACAATTAATGTAGATTTCCTCTATCAACATGAATAAGTAATTCTTCTTATCAACCTCCGTTTGCTGAAGCAAGAGGTATGTTTTGTGATGTCAAGTGCCATTTGGTTGGCCAAGTGGTTTCCTTTGACGATGACATTTGCGCAAAATTAGAGATGTTTTTCTCGTGGAACAAGCTTTGAAACTGGTCATGTTATGCTGCTATCAAGCCACGTTCAGGACCAATGACAATGGTCCCTCCACATAGCATCCCGTGATATTTCTTGCACGGTGGCTGTGTTATGGCGGCCAACCATTTTGGATAGAAATAGCTCTCTTCGTTTCCGCGGGTCAATAGAACTTGGTGCTCGAGTAGCGTAAGAGTATTGGAGATAATGAAAGCGGTGTTTTCGTCCATTATCAGAAAATCACTTGCCATATACATCAATATTTTGCGTGCCCATTCACCTATTAATTGCAAGGAAAGAGATGTAAGTTTTGTGATAAGGATAAGTAATGGGAAAACCTGTCGCTCACTAAAGGAGAAGACAAGTACACAACCTTCCTAAGCCGACGCGCTACTCCAATTGTGCTGGTTACGAGGCTATTCATTGTCATGATGGCCGGAGTACTAGCCTCCTTCGCATGACACATGAGATCTTAGAGCCCGTAAGCAAATGTCGATTTCTCGAGCGGCAATACCTGCTAGCAAAGAGTATATCTAGTCATTGTTTGGCCTTTGGTTGCATCTTAACAAGCCTGCCAATTTGGATGGTCTAGACATGTTTTCCCATCCAACACGGCTCACCAAATCAGGCTAGACCGGTCAGGACGTTCAAAATCCCACAAACTACCTTAAATTGGGAGCGGGAGTCTGGGAAAGTCTGGGCGTCCGCCACAACGGCGTTTGACAACCCTGTCCCACCCCAAAAACCTTATCCTGCTCACGAAGTATCCACATTCAAATTGCCCTCACCGGCTCGCCACCTACCTGCATTCACGGGCGGTGTGCCATCCGAGAAGCCTAGTGTGGCTTTCAA